TTCTAGGCATAGGTCCCCTCTTTAGTCTGTGTCCCTGAACAGAATATCAAGTGACAGAGCTTCCAGTTGGCACCTGTTCTTGCTTCTTGCACAAGGTCAAACTCCTCTGTGTGGGTCTAGGACCTCTTCTTGCCCTGCTGCATGGCTTCAGCTCTCTTTCAGTTCTTGTGCTAGAATGGTCCTGGATGGGCCTGACTAGATCCCATCCCAAGTGTCTGAAGATGTCTTGTTCCATCTTCCTGTGTAAACCTAGTGCAGAAAAATCACTCACTGTGACTTTTCTTGGATTTCCTAATCAGGGCTCAGTTTGGTGGGCTTTCTAGATCTTTGTGGGGTTGTGGCAGAAAGCTCAACTGTAATCCTTCCTACCATTTTGCCATCTTCTGGCCCCTAAGGTTTAAAGAGTGAGAATGAGTTGTCATACATTGTAGGTTAAGACTTTGGATATATAATGCAACCATATCTATGCTCATCTGTACCGTCTCTGAACCTGGTCAGCCCATAAAGCTCAGGGCAGGAAAAAAAAGGGCAGAAGAGGTGAAGGGGTGAGAGTGATGAGATGGAAATGATGAGAGATGTGGGCCAACCCAGCATCTGAAGACTATGTGACCTGAGGTTGGGAGGGAGGCATAATAGCTAAAGGAATTTCTCTTTGGGTCTGACCTGCCCTCAACTATCTTATGTGATATCATTAGTAATGAACAACTGCAGAGGCACTGGAGTCCTATGCAGGCCAGTCTAGGCAGCTGGACTGGAAAGCAGTCAGAGAGCAGGTCTGACAGAATTCTGGTACGACGTCAGCTCCATGAGAAGTTGTTCTGTTTTTTTTGTCTTTGCATCCCCTAATGCCTCTCATAGTCTGGGATAGAGTAAGCAATGAATATTTATTGAATGATGTATAAATTGCTTAGAAGTCGCTGGCACAGCCAGCAGTGGGGGAAAGGAGAGATATCAGGAGCTAATTCCTGAATTCCCAACTAACTTGACTATTATTCCTTTGGAGTCCACGAATGGGAAAACTTTGGGGATATTTGCTAAATTCAACACTAGGGATCTGATCAAGGCATGTGAATTGTGCCTTGGAACTTCTGGGTTTAGGGCATGTGTGGACTGGTTGGCTGAGAGAAGGGAGCATGCACATAGCCTGTGGGGTAGCTGTTTTAATAGCTTTAGATTATATGCCTTTTACTTCCTTGGTCATGTATAAAGACTACATACAGTTTAAAAATATCTTATTGATACTTTTCATCACTCCTCCCTGAAAGCCACAACCAGTTTGGTGCTGCCTCCAGGAACCTCTGGGGTTGAGTGGAGTGTACAAGTGCCAGGGGGAAGGAGGAGACTAAGGAAGCATTGTCAGCACCTGGTCCCTCATCACAACTACGCAGGATACTCTATTGTCATCTAAACATGTAACATGCATTTTCTGGCACCTCAGAGGCTTAACCCAAATGCCCCAAAGAAGTAGTGATATGGCAAGCTGTTAGAAAATCAGGAGCAACACCTTAAAGCTAGTGATCCTCCTTCTTATGCAAGAATATACTTTATTCCCACCTATTGTTAAGGCTTTTTTTGCTTGAGAGAGTAGTTGTACACTGTATGTATTTTTCTGTGCTCAAATTTGTGAACTGAGGCAAGTAATGTTTATGATGGGTCTGACCAAAGATCTGAATTCTTGTCTTGGGTCTGCAAAACAAACTAGTTTGTGACTTTGGGGGAAAGTTTTGTAACCTCTCTGGGCCTCAGTCTTTTTTTTTTTTTCCTATAAAAGGAAAGGATTGGACCAAATGATCTCTAAGGTCTTTTCCAACTTGAACACCCAGTGATTCCAATAGTGTATACTTCAGGCACTGTGTCAGGCAGGGGCTATTGTGGCTAAGGGTTAATTTTTTATATTGTGTTTGGTGGCCCATTTGCCTCCTTCATGAATCTATGAGGCCCTGTAGTCTACAGCAGTAGTATGAAACAAATAGAATAGGTCCACTAATCCATCCATAAAGGATTTCTGTAGCTGCATATTAATTTAGTTTTAAAATATGTTATCTGTTTTTTATTTTATTTTTATTTATTTATTTATATTTATTTATTTTTATTTATATTTTTTATATATATTATTTATATATTTATTTTATTTTATTTTATTTTATTTTAATTAATTTTATTAAATATTTCCCAATTACATTTTAGTCTAGTTCAGACCACAGCAGGAATGTTGTGGGCAGCCTCCACATCTTGTGTTTGACATTTCTGGTCCAGTGTACTTTATCTAGGAGAGTGATATAATCACGGCCCAGGGTACCAATGGGTTGCTTAGGTGCCTGTGCTTGGACCACAATTCCAAGACCATATCTTTCTCTAGCCTAAGAAACATTATCCCAGGCAGTTTCTCCCTAGCCCAAGGACATTATGCCTAGCAATTACTCATGAGTGGGCCTCAGCAACACATTTATCTCTCTCCCTGGTGCAGTAACTAACCAGACCTGTAGGAATTATTAGTTTGAACTGGCTTTGTACTGGCTCATAAAGATATTTGGTACCCACCGGACTATCTACACCAACTTCCTACCTCATTATATGCAATCTGGACTCCTCATTATGTATATACTAGACCTAAGACATATGTATACTCCCTACATCTGTCTTGTCAAATGAGATCGGTGGCAGACTGGGCAACCCTCAGGTGGTTCTGGCTGCTAGTTAACTTAGTGTCTTAGCAGGCGTAAAACCGTACCTCCACAGTGGCCCCTTCTTGAGCTTTTTCCTGGTGAATTCTGGGTAAAATGCCTGCGTAGTAGATACAAGAAGTGCATGTTTCTTTAAGAACTGACCACTTCTTAACCACTCCCTAATCCTGCCCTGCATCACCTAATTGGCATACTTGGCACATGTTTTACTATAGTTTTTCTTATATAAACTTTAACTATACCCCTCTAAGGTCACAGGTTCCTTAAGAACTTTCATGGCTGAAAAGCGTAACAATAAGTCTTTGCCAACTTGACTTAAAGAATGCTTGAATCTGTGAATTCATTCCAGACCCTGTCCTGTACTTGAGTTCTTGGGGGGGTCCCTGAACCACTCAAACCGTATCAGCACCATAATCACATACAATGACTGCAAAACAAGGCAAGCAGTTATTTGGCTCAAGTCCATTTTAATTCTACAATATCCCAAAAGTCCTAAGGTCAAGTGAATGGATATGCAGCACAGTACTTTCTAATGCTCAATAAATACTAAATGGAATTGAAATCTGTAGGGAGAGTATTACTAGATCCTGGACTAGTGGAACAGCGTTTGACTTAAGTGGATAGGGGAATCAGCTAACCCGATATGCCATAATTATTAATAGAGCAGTTCTTATGTGCACAAGACTATGCTACATCATGGTGGGGCTTACAGAAGAAATCTAAGTCATGGAACACGTCCTTGAGGTGCTCATGGTCCTACTAGGATTTTTCTGCTGTGCCAAGGGGGTTGAACATAACCACATAAATAGCTCTCACATTGTACGTTGTCATTCCTAAAGATCATCTAACGGAAACCAACCTGCGAGGCAGGTCAGCCTAACTAACCCATATGCATTTCTTGCCTCCATTGCTTAGATAGGTCCCACTTATGGAGTCTTACTTGGTCCACTGAAGATTCTGGGAGGCTAAACATATTTCCAGGCCTGGATGATTAGGTGGGGTTCAAGCTAGTAATAGTGTCTAGGAAGGACATTAGGACAAAATAGGAAAGCAATCATCAATGATGGTTGGTGAGGAGTAGAGTAAAGATTATAGTCTTGGAGGAATAGAAAAGGTAAAAACAACACCCCCCCCCCCAAAAAAAATCCCTTACCAAGCTCTAGATTATAAAGAGGGCAGAAGTTTTGGGATGCAAATGAAAAGGAGGCCTATTAGACTGTGAGGTCCTTGAGAACACAAATTGTCTTTTCCCTTGTTTTGTACCCCCAGTACTTAATACAGTAAGTACTGATATTGTAAGTGATGTTGTAAGGAAGAATTAGAACCAATAGGAGGAACCACCAGAAAGAGGAAACAAAACAGAAGAAAAAAAATAGCAAATAGTATTCTTCAATCTGCCTTCAAACTCCATAGTTCTTTCTTTGGATGTGGATAGCATTTTCCATCAAGAAACCTTTGAAGATGTCTTAGATCCTTGCATTGCTGAGAAGGGCTAAGTCTATCAATATTAGTCATCGCACAATGAGGAGCACTCAATAAATGCTTACTGAATGACTTTTAGAGCAAAAAGTTTCTTTCACCAAAAACAAGTGATAAATCTTACTTATAAGTTACATCTGAGAAGAGAGAGAATGATGTGCCCAACTTGGTAGTCAGGAAGATGTGAGTTCAAATCCTGTTACTTACTAAGCTTGTTCAAAACAAATAAGATTTACCTTGGAAAAATTGATTGACCTCTCTGAGTCCCAGGCAAATCTGTTCTATTAAGTTACACTTTTTTGCTATCTCAGTCAGCGTAGGTAGATCTCACGATGACAAAATCACATATCCTTAGGCTACTGAAGATTTAGGGTAAATTAATCATGATTATAACACTACTTGTTAAATGAGAGAGAGGTATCTCTCTCATGCTGTCTCCAGTGGGGACAAAGATGGAAGAGAAAAAGATAATGTATGGAGAATGATCATGACTTCCATTTGTGAGCCTTAAGAACAATACTTTGGTATTACAGGGTTTTCTGAAATTTTCTGGAATTTGAGCTTCCTGGGGGCAAGGACAAATCTGACAAAAGCTTGTGGGAGAGAAGGTGCTACCAAGTGAGTCAAAGACATGCTTCAGAAAGGAAATGCTGGGGTCACTAATCGTGCCAGGAGTCAGACTGGCATGGTGGTACCTGAATCTCAAGAGGATTAAGCTTCTGCTGTGACAAGCTTTCACATGCTAGCCCTTTCCTGGAACACTGCAAAGTTATGAGGGATTAGGATGAAGACTAGGTTCAGTCATATAAAAAGCCCAGCAGTTTATTTCCTGACAGTTTATGAACGGTTGCTTATCTCCCTACATCTTCTCAAAAAGGTCTGCATGGCAGCTTCAGCGGCTCTCTGGACACTGACACAGGGATCTTCTCTAAGTGCCTGGAGACCTGAAACGGAAGAAAAAGGAAAGGTCAATGAATGAGGAGGCATTTAGAGATCATAATTGGAGGGGCAACACGAAACCAGATCCAGCCAGGCCTGCCTTGCAGGGCTCACTCCCCAACTCAGGTTCCAGGTATTAATGATGACAATTGACATTTATATAATATTTTTAAGTTCTGCAAAACACTTTCCTCACAGCAGCCCTTAGAGGTAGGTACTGAAAGAATGATTTCTAGTTTATGGATGAGAAAACTGAAGCACAAGGTCATTCAACTAAGGAGTACCAGAGATGAGATAAATCTTTCCTGAAATGATGCTGAGTGAAGTGAGCAGAACCAGAAGGACATTGTACACAGTAACAGCCACATTGTGCAATGACTGACTTTGATAGACTTAGCCCTTCTCAGCAATGTAAGGATCTAAGACATCTTCAAAGGTTTCATGATGGAAAATGCTATCCACATCCAAAGAAAGAACTATGGAGTTTGAATGCAGATTGAAGAATACTATTTGCTATTTTTTTCTTCTGTTTTGTTTCTTCTTTCTGGTGGTTCCTCCTATTGGTTCTAATTCTTCCTTACAACATCACTGATGTGAAAATATGTTTAATAGGAATGTATATGTAAAGCCTATATCAGATTGTGTGCTATCTTGGGGAGGGAGCAATGAAGGGAGGGGGAGACAAATTGTAAACTCAAAAGCTTATGGAAGTGATTGTTGATAAATCAAAATAAACTAATAAAAAAAATCTCTCACAAAAAACTTTCCTGATTCCAAGTGTAGCTCCCTCCCTCCCTTCCTTCCTTTCCTTTATTCCTTTTTCTCTACTTTGTCTTCTTCCCTTCCTCCCTTCTTTCCTACTTTGCTCCCTCCTCCCTTTCTTCTCTTCTTTTCTCACCTCTTCCTTTCTTCTTCCCTCCTCCATTCTTCCCTTCTTTCTCCCTCCTTTTCTTCTTCCCTTCCTCTCTTCATCCCTTTTTCTTCCCTCCATTTCTCTTTCCTTCTCTCTCTCCCTCCCTCCTTTCCTCCCTCATTTCTTCCTATTTTTGTAGAAACCTATGCTCCCTCCCTCCACTGAATAGAACCTTCCTTAGAATATAGAAGGTACACGGAAGCAAAACAAGCCAAAACACTAAGAATGCTTGGCTCTGGGTGTATCATTCT